TAACATGACTGGGATTGTCAGTTACCCAAGTTTGTCAGATGGTATCTGACATTTTATCTGACAAACTTGGGTAACTTGATACCCAGATGTTTATGTTTATCCCAGTCATGTTAGCAACACATGAAACATAAACATCTGGGTATCAAGTTACCCAAGTTTGTCAGATAAAATGTCAGATACCATCTGACAAACTTGGGTAGCTGACAATCCCAGTCATGTAAGCAACACATGAAACATAAACATCTGGGTATCAAGTTACCCAAGTTTGTCAGATAAAATGAAATCCCAGTCATGTTAGCAACACATGAAACATAAACATCTGACAAACTTGGGTATCTGACAAACTTGGGTATCTGACAAATGGGTATCAGATGTTTACAGGACACGTTACAGAGTTACGACTAGCCACCTGTGACTTGGGTATGTTTCATGTGTTGCTAACATGACTGGGAAACATAAACATCTGACAAACTTGGGTAACTGACAATCCCAGTCATGTTAGCAACACATGAAACATACCCAAGTCACAGGTGGCTAGTCGTAACTCTGTAACATTGTCTAAATCTACCCAAGTCAATACGTCCTGGCTAGTCCTCCTCTGTAACGTGTCCTGTTCTCATCTGGCCTAGAACTGTCAAAAACTTCTCACATCGGACAGTAGAGCATTTTACGCTGCAGCTTGACGGTAAAAGAAATTTTTGGGACATTATTGACACATGGATACGTAATGTCTCTCCCTCGATGTTAACTTACACCTTGTTAGGTGCCAATAATATTACTGCAATCAATAAAGAAGCTGTACTGGCATGTTGGTTAACTTGTTGGTTTCCGAGTGTGTCATTGGACTGATAAGACGGTATTAAGACCATGTAACAGTTACATGTAAGTTATTCAACATGATGGAGAGATTGAAATGTTAAAATGCAGAATATCACTAAAAACGTAAGATTAGAACAATTTCTAGGAGGCTAGGAACACAATAACTGCTGTACTTTGGCACGTATTGTGACAAGAGTTAACTATTAGTGAACTTACAAATAAATGTACATGGATCTAAATTGAGCTGCCACCATATTTCGCCGGCGGGCGCTTTTTCATAGGTGGGCGGTTCTGCCAAATCCTTGAGCTGCCACATACGTGAGAGGTCAGCAGGTGTTTATGGTGAACGTTCGTTAGGGGATGTTAGGGTTAGGATTGGGATCATCGTTCAGGGCTTACGATTGGGGTTAGGTTAGACTACGTTTAGTCCCCAAGAAGTGTTGGAGTCATGTATTTGTCAGGATTATGTATTTGGCTTGACACCACAAGCGTGCCACAAGGTTATGACGTAATACCTTTGACACAGTTCCACAATGGTAGGTAAGGGTACCGTTTTCATGTTTAGTCTCACGAACATGACTTCAGCACAAGACAATTTCTTCGGAATTTTCTTCCTTTCAGAAAATAAAACACGAACAACTTGAGTAGCAAAATTAATACGCTATTTCTAAAGCCCTCGCAACCTGATTGGATGAGTCCATGCCATCACGTGACACCCATTTCCAGGGAACAGGAGGAATGATCATTTAAAAATAATTAGACTAACCAAGTAATAACGTAAATTTTCACGCAGGAGAAAGTCCATAGCTATGTGTCCCAACTTCCCAACAGCAAAGTATTAGTCTTCAACTTGTTTAAAGCTGATTTGATCAAATTTTATGTAGTAGTGAGGGCCACAATACTTGTACTGCCATTTCGTCGCGGTGGTATAAATGGTACATGCCACTCCATGTGGTTATTGTTGGGGCGTTGGTGCGTAATGAAAATGTTGGTGTGGTGTCATGTTACCTGCTTCACTCACTCACCTGTAAATTCACAGTCACTGTTACTAGTATCTAGAAAATTCCAAGTTGGTGTAGGGGATATGGAGTATGTCGAACGCATGTCGAAGGTTCTTCTGCATACATTCAGTCGAAGGTATTCAGTCTGTAAACGTCAACATGAGCAATAACTCCATCGGACAAAGCGGTAAGTTTAAAATTGACTATATTTACCTTCGCCAAGAAGGTTATGTTTTCAGGGGCGTTCGTGTATGTGTGTGTGTGTGTGTGTGTGTGTGTCAACACGATAACTTGAGAAGGCCTTGATGGATTGTCTTGATACTTGGTAGGTGGGTAGGTCTTGATGAGACCTCAAAATGATTAGATTTTGGACCCCCTAGCGACTTGTTATGGTACTGCAGCTGAACTTCCGGTTTTGATATCTCATGATCTAGACATGCTATGGTGATGAAATCTAGATGGTAGGTAGCTCTTGTGCTGGGGAAGAAGTGATGTGAGTTTAGGCTCCCTAGCGGCTTGCACTGGAACTGCAGCGATATATTCTTGAAAATATTCAAAAGGGGATAACTCAAGAACCGGTTGACGGATCGTCGTGATTTTTGGTATGTAGGTAGCTTATGTGATCCTTCATATAATTATGTGACAATTATGCAAATATCGATATAATTTGCATAATTTATGGGGAAATTCTATAAATCAGCTGCATTCCATGATAGGACAATTAAAGCTTGTGACATTGGTAATTGATAACGAGAGAAACACAGGAAGATATTGATTATGTTAATAATGACCTAATTTGCATAATTAATGAGAAAATTTTATAATTATGTAATGATAACTGCCTGGAATTTCATACTTGTGGTATTTGAAAGTTAAATTGAGGTGAACATCATTAAACATAATTTATTCAAATCAGGACCTCATTTGCATAATTTATTAGGAAATGCTAGAATGCATTGTTTGTTAATATAAGACTTTTTTTGGTTGAGATTATGATAAAATGATATAATTCATGAAAATTAGGTTCCTATTTCTTAAATCAGGGGGGAATAATCTAATCTATAATTTGTCAGTCATAAAGATTAACATCATTTGGTGAAGGTATGAGATCGGGGAACTCTAGTTTACCATTGCGATGCCAAGACATGTCCCAAGCATGCCCTCAGTCCGCTGTCGTAAACCTGACAATGAATGTGGCCGTGAAAATGTTATCTACACGTGCCCCATCATAACGTAATATAACTACTGTTGTTTTTTTCTATCTTCAGATCCTGTCGTCGAAATGCAAATTAAAGTTTTCGTCAACAACGGTGAGGTACAGGTCACTTCTGATGTCACAGTAAACAAGACGAAGCCTGCAAACCCAGGTACGCTTTCGCTTTACACGTCGTTTAGAATCTACATGTATTTCAATAATGCAAGGTATTTGTGAGTCGGAGAAAGTGTCCTTCATCTCTTAGCTTCTTTTGCCCTCTTTTTAGAGCCCGCACGTGAAAAATTTCTGTTCTTGTGTGATTGTAGCTTTAGATGAACCGATACTTCCCCAAGTTGTAAGTAGTCCGGCCGAAGTGCTATGATAACGTCACTGATGCCAACGATGACTGACTGATGTAACGTGTTCTTGTACTTGTGTGCGACCGCAGGACACCACGCGAACCCTCGGACCGACTCACCACCATTGATCGATCTCACCACAGACGAAGACCAACGTGATGGACTGGTCAGCAATTGTAAGTTTTCTTTTCTGTCTTCTTTCTTGTCCTTCCATAATCTGCAAGTAAATCTTACATTAGTAGGTTACAGCCTTGACACCGTAGCATCTGCTTGGAAATTACTCCTCCTGTACATATGTGCATGCCGGGTGTGAGCTTGCTCAACATTTCCCTCTTTTGTCCTTCCGTCTGTACTGTCAACATTCTCATGTTTCCCATTGTTGGTCGTTAGAGAAACATTTCACTGGTCGGTCCCCACGTGGCCCTGGATCAGTCTCTTGCCCAAGCGGTGGTCGAGTGTGGACATTCATTCTAGCAGCCTTCAGTTTATATAGCAATGGTTTACACTGTCTTTCTTCTCTTATCTCTGTCTCTCTCTGTCTATATTTCTCTTCTTGCCTCCTCAGCTATTAAGCTCAGCACGCGAAAACTGGGACCTGTCCATGTATCGACGCAGGTCCCAATACCAGCGCAGACGCCTCATCCGAGGAGACCCCGGCCGTAGTGGACCTCACACTACAGGAAGAGGAGGACGACCCAAAGGAGGACGATGTCCCAGAGGAAGACATCATCGACTGCTGCGTTACAGATGAGGAGTGGAAAGAGGCAGGGTTTGATCGAGGTTAGCATCTTTTTTGTGTCGTTTTTTTTTAGTTGCACAAGTTGCCTTTGATTCCATTGAGTATAGGTTTACACTGTGGAGCATTTTACCAACGCCACCACTCACTACATTTTGCTTGCTTTGTGTTTTTCAGACTAGACAAAGGAAGATGAAAAGTAGCTGAAGGAAGTGGTGACAATGAAAATGTTAGAAACATTAGAAATAGATTTTTTTAAAAGTAGCCTTCTGTATTGTTTTCAGTACAAATGTAGATCCCATAGAGAATTTTGTTAATAATAAAAAGGTTATATGTACTATTCTCACTTTGAGATGCATCAGTTACCACCCAACAACCAGGGGTGGAGACTATTAAATCACATAATGTAGTAGATACCAACGAACAAGAACGTTCATGGAGTAATCGCACCTACTGTACTGGTAAAAAAATGGTACTTGCCACCTGTAACATTACATGTACACTACGGTAGATTCGGTGTTACCGCTACAGTTCGTGGAAATTTACACATTGTAAAGGTAACCAATCTACAAGAAGGCAACACCCGGTGGACACTTTATATACAGCAGGACTGTCAACAACTTCTCACATCGGACAGTAGAGCATTTTACGCTGCAGCTTGACTGTAAAAGAAAGTTTTGGGACATTACTGACACGTGGATACGTAATGTCTCTCCCTCGATGTTAACTTACACCTTGTTAGGTGCCAATAATATTACTGCAATCAATAAAGAAGCTGTACTGGCATGTTGGTTAACTTGTTGGTTTCCGAGTGTATCATTGGATTGATAAGGCCATATACGTGTAAGTTAATCAACATGATGGAGAGATTGAAATATTTGAATGCAGAATATCGATATATATCATTTGAAACGTCAAATTTAAAACAATTTCAATGAATCAAAGAACACAATAACTGCTGTACTCTAGATCCCTGGCAAGTATTGTGACAAGAGTTGATTATTAAGTGAACTTCCAAATAATCATAAAGGTAGCTGCCGTCATATTTCGCCGGGGGACGCTTTTCACAGGTGGGCGGTTCTGCCAAATCCTTGAGCTGCGTAAGTGTAAGGGTACCGTTTTCATGTTTAGTCTAACGAACAGGAGTTAAGTACAAGACCATTTCTTCAGAAATTTCTTCAGAAAAAAAACACGAGTTTGAGTATCAAAATTAGTACGCTAAAAGAAACTTTTCTAAAGCCCTCGCAACCTGATTTGATAACACCGTCACGTGACACCCTTCCATTCCCAGGGAACAAGACTAATCATCAATAATAATTAGACTAAGCAAATAATAACGTAGATTTTCGCCCAGGAGAAAGTCCATTACTATTTTTCCAAGTTACAAACATCAAAGTATCAGTCGTCATCTGGTTTAATCCTAATTTAATCACATTTTATATACACTAGCAGTGATGACCAGAATACTTATACTACAATTTCATTGCCTTTTTAAGGCCTTATGGTGCGCGCTTAACATGAAATGGGATCGACACCGATCCCGGGCAGGCAGCTTTCAAAGGTTGGACACGTTGTCATGAAAAACTAGAGCACGCATAGGTAACATTGAATGAGAGAGCACGCATAGCAGGCGACCAGGTAGCATCGGTTCCCACCATTGGGAAAACTTGAAACATGCTTTACGGTACGGTGAAAAAATGCAGTGCGCCGGCCGAGCCGGCGTGAGCGTGGGAAAACAGATGCTGCGCATGCGCCTACTCTCATTCAATGCTAGCTAACCATGAGAAAACACCCGTGATAGCTGGGGGCCGGCGTGAGCGTGGGAAAACAGATGCTGCGCATGCGCCTACTCTCATTCAATGCTAGCTAACCATGATCGCCGGCTCGGCCGCTATTACGGGTGTTTTCTCATGGTTAGCTAGCGTTGACCACTGAGAGGCAGTGTGAAAGGAAGACCTGGGAATGACAGTTAAGGTCTAATCTTGCAGTCTGCGAACTAGAAACTGTTAACTACAACATGAGCAATAACTCCATTGGACAAAGCGGTAAGTTTGAAAACATTTTAAAGGGCGTTGTTTTAAATTTTTACGCAAGAACCTGGAAACGTGCTATATTGTATACTTCTATTGAGGATACAGATTCAGACAGACATGTCCCAAGTATGCCCTCAATTCTCTGTCGTAAACCTGCCAATGAATGTGACAGGATGTTAACGTTGTACATCTACCCAGTCATCACGATCATAATTACGTTTGTATATTTTTTTTTCTACTCTCAGGTCCTTTCGTCAGAATGAAAATTGAAGTTTACGTCAACAAAGGTGAGGTACCGGTACAGGTTACTTCTGATATAAACAAGACAAAGTCTGCAAGCCCACGTACGCTTTTGCTTTATATGCCGTTTGCAACAAAATGACATGAAAATGAAACGAAGTTGACTTTATTGCTCTACAGTTGTCATGGTACAATGTATGGCATCAATGACAATGTGATCAATACAGTAGGTCTATTCTAAGAAACTATTACTTTAGGCGTTTCTGTCTGTTACAATGCTTTCTCTCTTTTGTAAGACGCCACATACATTCGCCTAAACTGGTCAGGGGAGTTAGTCGGCCACAGATGCAGACAAAATGGAGTCGGGGCATGACATACTAGTAGTACAAATGTAGATGGGAAAAACGTCTGCGTTTGCAATGTTTTTTCAGTAATTCAATATCATTCTGAGTCGGAGGAAGTGTTTTTCCTATCTTCGCTTCCTATCTTCGCTTCTTCTGCCCTCTTGAGCAAGTGTGTGAAACGTTTCTGTTGTTGTGTGATTGTAGCTAAGATCGGACGTCGCAATATGCCTCTGGCGGCCACAGCACCTGTAGTGGACCTCACAGGAGAAGATCCGCCTCACCTGATCTGCAACGGTGAGTTCATTTTTCTGACTTTTAATATTATAATAATAAATGGTTTTTATTGGTCAAACAGTACCAGTGCAGTCGGAGACTTTGTGCGGCTGAATTGATGCAGGGTATCACATAATGATCAATAAATTAATGACAAACAATCAAATAATACACACGATATTTGCTCCACAATTTTTTTTTAAACTGACGGCCCCACAATATGACCTTAATACGACTTTCCCCAACCGAAGGTAGGTACCCATTCACATCTGGGTGGAGTGAGGAAAGTTGTGTTAAGTGCCTTTCCCAAGGGCACAACGCCGGGGCGCTTGTCCAGACATGTCCTGGGTACAACTCGGAATCCAACACGGGTCTCCATAGTCGAACGCTCTACCACTACGCCACCCGACGTCACCGTAAACTACATTATCCTAAACTCCCCAGGCGTGTGAACAAATTCTGTCCAAAGTTGACGGTTATCGTTCCGTAGCGTGAGTTTGCAATTGCCGTTTACATTTCCCTCTCTTTTGTCCTTCCGTCTGTCAACATTGTCATGTTTCCCATTGTTGGTCTGTCGGACAAACATTTCACTGGTCGGTCATGGTACGTACCTTAGGCCACAGCAAGTAAATTTTATGGATGACATCCTCCGCAGACTCCAAATCTAATGCGAGCGGGCGAAAAAAAACAAGGTTCCTACATTGTAACATTTTGACTCAATCATGGTACAAATGATTTTGATTCAGTGGGAACATCACATATACACAGCCAGTATCACATATCACTGCATAAAAGTAAGAAACAAGACATTAAATCAGAGCCTTTTCTTGTCTCCTCTCTTCATAGTTATCTGCCATCCACGTTCCGGCATGGCAACAGATATCTTTGCCCATTTTCGGTATGTTGACCACTGTCAGAAGGCAACAAAATTTCTTGTTTTTTTTCCCAAAATCAGCCGAAAATCAATGCGCGCGCGGATGTCATCCATAAAAATTACTTGCTGTGGCCTTACACTGCCTGTCTTGGACCTGTGGCAGTCGACGCAGGTCACAATACCAGAACACATTCCTCATCCGAGGGGACCCCGCGCCGGCTGTAGTGCTAACTTCACAATATAAGTTGTAACGTGTGTTTTCTTGTGTGCGAGCTCAGGACGCAACGCGAATCCTCGGGCTGCCTCGCCGCCGTTGATCGATCTCACGGCAGACGAAGAAAGCAAGGAACGACCTGGACTAGTCAGCAATGGTAAGTTCTCTTTTCTTTCTTTTCCTTGATACAAAGTGAATCAACATAGTAATAGGAAGCCCGACAGTAGCAATGGAGAGGTGTCCGGAAGTTTTAATGGTGGACGGTCGTCTCATGTCATCATAGTCCTGTACATGGCGCGAGTTTGCTTCACAATTCTGTCTCTTTTCTTCGTTCGCTTTCAAGTCTTTCCGCCAACCTGTAGCTATTTATTCAACAGTCTGTCTCCGCTTACCTCTATCTCTTTCTGTCTATATTTCTCTTCTTCCCTCCTCAGCTATTAAGCTCAGCACGCGAAAACTGGGACCTGTCCATGTATCGACGCAGGTCCCAATACCAGCACGGACGCCTCATCCGAGGAGACCCCGGCCGTAGTGGACCTCACACTACGGGAAGAGGAGGACGTTGGCGTTGGCTCAGAGGAGGACGACCCAAAGGAGGACGATGTTCAAGAGGAAGACATTGTCCCAGAGGAGGACATTCTCGTCCGTGACGTTACAGAGGAGGAGTGGGAAGAGTCTGGGTTTGATCGAGGTTAGCGTTACATCCCATCTTTCTTATGTCATTGTTTTTTATTATTACCTCCGGGGAAGGAGATATCCTTCCGCGAGGAGGTTTTGCTATGGTTCGAAACATTTCTGTCAGCAGCTGTTTCTCGCGATCGGCTGGACGGATTGGTCTGTTGTTCGGTATACGTATTGCTATTGGGCTGCAGATGATGCAGAACGTTTTTGTTTAATTGCATATGTGTTTATGGGCGTCGAAATAAAATGTTTTTAAGTGCTCCGGACA